GGGAGAAGGGGGGGGGGGAAATTAGGGAGGGGGAGCCCCCGGGAGCTGCCTGCCTTCAGTCTAGGAAAAGGTGCTACCGCCTGGCTTCCTGAGCGCCCAGAACCCCGTTCAGTTTTGCCAGCCCAGTTGGCCAAGGTCAGCATTGAACCGCGGGGAGCTCTGGACTTTTCTCTGTCTTTTGGGGACAAGGCTTGAGCCTCCCTGTTTGGGAGAGGGAACCTCTTAAAATTCCTCCCAACTCCTAAAATCCCAGGTCCCTTCTCTGAGGGACCCTTCCCCTCCCCCCTCCCCTCTTCTTCCCTCCTCTTTCCCCTCAAATCCCCTTTCTTCCCCTCTTCCCCTCTTCTCTCCTTTCCCTCCCCCACATCTCTCTCTCTCTCTCTCTGTCTTTCACTCTCTTAGGTTTGGGGCCTATACCCTGCAGTGCTCAGGGGTCACTCTTGGTAATACTTACGGCAACCAAGTGAATTGCCAGGCATTGAACCTGGGGCAACAGCAAGCAAATGCCTTACCCACTACGCCATCTCTCTCACCCAATGAAGGTTTTTCTCTTTTTGGGACTCGGGTGGGTTTGGGCCCCCTCAGCAGTGTCAGACAGTGGAAGACACTCCTGGCCAGTGCTTAGCAGGTTGCTTCTAGCTGCTCAAGCAACCCTGCGGTGCCAGGAAGCAAACCCAGGCCTCTCGCCATCAGAGCACACGTGCAGCCTCTCCGGCCTGCTCCGAGCCCGCTGAGACTGTCCAGAGCTCCAAGTTTCGGAGATTCCAGGTTTGAAGCAGATCCTGGAGGTGGGACCCCAGGGAAACCTTGGGGGCTTTCCCTATCAAATGCCATTTTTTTTTTGGCTTTTTGGGTCACACCTGGCGATGCACAGGGGTTCCTCCTGGCTCTGCACTCAGGAGTTACTCCTGGCGGTGCTCAGGGGACCATATGGGATGCTGGAATCGAACCTGGGTTGGCCGCATGCAAGGCAAACGCCTTACCCGCCGTGCTATCTCTCCAGCCCTGGTTTCTTTTTCTTTCTTTCTTTCTTTCTTTCTTTCTTTCTTTCTTTCTTCCTTTCTTTCTTTTTGCTTTTTGGGTCACACCCGGCGATGCACAGGGATTCCTCCTGGCTCTGCACTCAGGAGTTATTCCTGGTGATGCTCAGGGGACCATATGGGATGCTGGGAATCGAACCCGGGTCATTCACGTGCAAGGCAAACAAACGCCCTACCCGCTATCTCTATCTCTCCAGCCCCTCAAATGCCAATTTGACTTTTTCGTGGTCAAAGGTCTCAGGTTCAGGACTGAAAGCAGAGGATGGGAGGTGATAGAATTCAGTAGAAACTTTATTTGAGAAGAGAAAGAGAGGGGGTGGGGTGGGGCAGAGCAATAGTGTATCATACAGCGGGTAGGAACGGTAGAGGGTTTGCCTTGCCTGTGCCAGACTCGGGTCCAATCTGGCTTCCCATAGGGTTCCCCAAGCATCAAGCATCGCGTCGCTGGGTGTGGCCCCAAAACAAAACAAAACAAAAGGAAACAAAAGGAATGGAAGGAGGAGAGGGCAGGGAAGCTGGCCCTTGGGGTATCTATCCTTAAGTAGGAAGCCTGGGAAGGAGGAAAATCTCCTCTTTTTTGTTCTGCTCTTGTTTTGTTTGGGACCACCCCCCTCCCCCGTCCATGATGCTCAGGGCTCATCCCTCTGTGCTCAGGGATCACTCCTAGCAGGCCCAGGGGCCGTATGCGTTGCTGGGGATCGAACCTGGGTCAGGCGGGTACAAGGCCAGCTCCCTACGCTGTCCTGTGGTCTGGTTCCCAACATCGCTGCTGCCCCCTCTAATGCCCGCTCTCTTCTCCCCGTTGGTCTTGTCACCTGGGCCCTCTGGGTTCCTGTTACTCTCTCTTCTGCCTGGCTCTTGACTGGCCCTTTGGAATGGGAGCCACAAATCATCATCTTGCCGTCCCGTGCACCCAGCGCCGCAGAGGTGCTAGGATGGACGTATCAAGAGAGTGAACAAACGGATGGATGACGAGGAGGAGGGGAACTAACGGGCTCCTCCGCGGGAAGGCGGCTCCAGGGGCGGGGTGCAGAACCCGTCATTGATTTATCTTCTGTGGCCAGGGTTCAAGGAAGTTGAGAGATCTGAAATATCGGTTTCTGTCCTCTGTGAAGAGGTGGAGCTGGGATTCGAAAGGCAAGTCTGTTTGACTCCAAAGGTCACACCTGCGGCCACCCCAGGGGAAAGGTCAGTGTTTGGGGGTTAGAGAAAAAAGGGCCTTGGTAAAACTGACACTGGAATTACAGCACCAGGAGCAGTTCCCTTCCCCCCCCCCCCCAAATACCTTCCAAGCCGTCAACTTGTAGGTTTTTTTGAGAAGCATCAGCAGAGCAGCTGAAGCACTTCCTTCCTTCCCAGCTCAGGGGTGCCCTTCTTTGGGCCCCACGTTATCATTTCATCTTGACCACGGGAAAAGAAAGGGAAACCAGCAGAACGGAGCAAGACCTTGCCTCCCTCACCCCCAAATTTGCTAAATCTGTACCAGCAGTCTCTCTCTCTCTTGAACGCGGGTTCCAAGCCAGATCCTACAAAGGAAACAGAGACCTTAAGTAACCAGGCCCAAGTAGCACAGCTAGTTAAGTAACCCGGCTGAGAGTTCACTTTCTTTGTTTTTGTTTGGGGGCCACGGCCAGCAGTGCTTGAGGCTTACTTCTGGCTCTGGGCTCAGGAATCACCCCCGGCGGTGCTCGGGGGACCGTATGTGATGGTGGGGATCAAACCAGGGCCCCCCACGTGCAATGCAAATGCCCTATCTCTATCTCTGCCCCTGAGACTTCACTTGAGACTCGAACCCTGAAATCCACGCCGTTCCCCGTTTCATTTCTGCTCTCTGAGACTTTCTAGATGCCTCCTCCAAGGGCCGGGTTGTGACTCTATTTCCCTCCCTTCTGGCCCCCTATTGAGAAGCTGGCCCAGTGAGCGATGCATTGGGACAGAGGGTCAACTGGAGGACTGCCTACAGAGATGCCCCCTACTCCTGACCTTTGGGGGCCTCTGCAATCTGTAGCCCCCTTCTCCCAGCTTCCCTTCAGAGAGCCCTGGGCTACCCACCCCTCCCCCTGGAGCTCCTCCTTTATTTTGCATTTCAAGACTCTGCTGTTCTGCCTCACTTCCCCAAGAGGAAAACCCCCTGAAGTCTGTCCAACAGATCTCCAGGCTGGGGTGGGGTTGGGCCACACCTGGGGGTGCTGGGAAGAGGGTTTACGCCCGGCTCTGCATTTGCCTCTTCTCCCCCACCCCTCAAGGGGGCCCTAGGTTGCCAGGATCGAGCCCTGGAGGGATGCCTCTTAGCTCCTTTATTCTCACTCCCGTCCTGCTCAGGCTCCCTTGACTGCTGCTTCAGGCCCTGCGGTGAGAAGCAGCCCCTGGCGAGAGGGTCGCTAATCTCTAAATTAACGGTACTACACCTCAGAGCAGACCATATCTCCGCTGCTCATTAGCAAGGAGGCCCCACTGACCAGGGGCTTGCCACTGCACACTAAGCACTTCAAAGTATGCACACATTTCCCTGCCTGAAAACCTTACGAAGCAGTTCTTTTTCTCCGTTTTACCATGTGCAGAAACTAAAGTGCAGAGAGGTTAAGTAACTTTCCCAGAGTCACACAGCTGACAACTTCCTTATTATTTCCCTGCTAGAAACAAAGGCCAAGAAAACGCCGCAGTGTTCCTGGGCTGGCTCAGTCCGGTCCCTGGGGCCAGTGTGTGTGTGTGTGTGTGGGGGGGGGGTGGAACCCAGTCTCCCCAACTGCGGCTGTTTCCAGTTCCACAGCCACCAAGCTCCCTGCCCGTGTCCCACTTATTCTGTCTACCTGGGGTCCCGGGGCTGTGAAGTTTGCGCTCTAAACCTCCCCCCTCTTTTCTGTTTTGGCGGGACCAGTACCCACCACTCACTCCACTACTACCAGTCATTCGTCTGCGAGCGTCTAGCTAGGGAGTCAGTTCTTTTTTGGGTGGGTGGGTCACACCCAGCGATGCTCCGGGGTTGCTCCTGGCTCTGTGCTCAGGAATGACTCCGGGAGCCGATGCTCCGGGGTCGCTCCTGGCTCTGTGCTCAGGGATGACTCCGGGAGCCGATGCTCCAGGGTCGCTCCTGGCTCTGTGCTCAGGGATGACTCCGGGGGCCGACACTCCGGGGTCGCCCCTGGCTCTGTGCTCAGGGATGACTCCGGGGGCCGACGCTCCGGAGTCGCCCCTGGCTCTGTGCTCAGGAATGACTCCGGGAGCCGATGCTCCTGGCTCTGTGCTCAGGAATGACTCCGGGAGCCGATGCTCCTGGCTCTGTGCTCAGGAATGACTCCGGGAGCCGATGCTCCTGGCTCTGTGCTCAGGAATGACTCCGGGGGCCGATGCTCCGGGGTTGCCCCTGGCTCTGTGCTCAGGAATGACTCCGGGAGCCGATGCTCCTGGCTCTGTGCTCAGGGATGACTCCGGGAGCCGACGCTCCGGGGTCGCTCCTGGCTCTGTGCTCAGGGATGACTCCGGGGGCCGATGCTCCGGGGTCGCTCCTGGCTCCGTGCTCAGGAATGACTCCGGGGGCCGCGTGGGATGCGGGGCCCGGGAGCGGGGTCGGGGCGCGCGCGGCAGGAAATGAACGACCCTCTCTCGCCCGAACAGCCGGCGGGACGCGCACCCCCGCGGGGCCGGGCCGGGCGGGCGGGCGGGCGGGCGGGCGGGGGCCGGCGCGGCGCGGACACACCCCCCTGCGGGGCGCGCGGGCGGCGGCAGGGGGCGCTCGCGGGCGGGCGCCGCCGCGCAGGCGCGCTGCGGCGGGCGGAGATCCGGGCCGCGCTTCCTCTCGCCGGGCCTGCGAGCTTCCTCCCGGCGGAGCCCGGGGCAGCCGAGCGCGGCCGCCGCCCCCGACCGCGCCGCGGCCTCCCGCTGCCGCGCAGCCCGCCGGGGAGCGCTCGCTGGGGCCGCGCCCGCCAGCCGGTGCCTGCAGCCGCGGCCGCCGAGCGCGCGGGGCGGACGGCGCGGGCTCCCCCGCGGGCGCCCCGATCCCGCGCCCGGGGCCGCCCCGGGCCCCGCGCGACCCTCGCTGGCGGCGCCGGGAAGCGGAACTCTGCGGCGGCCGCGCCGGCTACATTGTTTCCTCCTCGCGCCTCGCGCCCGCCCCCCGCCCCCCCGCGCTGCCCTCGCCGGCCCGGCCGGCCGCGGCCCCGCGCCGGGACCTCCGCGGCCCACCCCCGTCCCCCGGGACCCCGCGCCCCGCCCCTGCCCCCGCGGCCGCACGGACCGTCCCGCAGGCCGCTGATGCTGCCCGCGGCGAGGTGGCCCGGACCGCAGTGCCCACGAGAGAGGTGAGTGTTGGCGGGCCCCGGGGAGGTGGGGTCCCGGCGTGCCCCCGGGGCGGCGGGCCGCGGCCCCGCGCCTCTGGCAGCCGCTCCTGCAGGGGGCGGGGGTCGTGTCCACCCGCCCCCCCCAGCCCGGACCCCTTGTGTGTGTGTGTGTCCCCCACCCGCGTTCTGATTCTCCCGGGAGTTCCTGTCATCCGGGCTGGGAGAGGGCGCACGGGGTGGGGGGCCGTGTACTACCGCGCGCGCCACTCCAGCCTGACCCCCAACTTTGCCCGGAGGAGGGGGCAGCGGTGGGCCAGTGCCCTAGGGAGTGGGCAGCTTGCCACTCCCAGCCTAGGACCCCCGCAGGCTCCTTGGGCCCCTGCCGGTTTCCCCCAGTCCCAGCACTGCCAGCCGCCCAGGGCGGGCCACTCCCTGGAGCTTGTCACTGCGGCCTCCCGGGCCAGCAGGCCCAAGCCAGGGCACCTCTGAACCGTGGGTGGGGACACTGGCTAGAGCCTCTGCCCTGGGTGGAGGTGACAGGCACTAGTCTTGTGCGCCCCCCCCCCTCCCGGCCACTGTCTGCTGGTGCCGGTGAGGGGTGTGTCCAGCCTCTGATGGGAGCTTCACCAAGGCCCCCGGCTGCCCAGTTAGATGGACTTGAACTGAGCTGGAACAAGGAAGTGGCATCCCAGGCCTCTGGCAGAGTTAGACTGTTGGTCCTGTCCTCGGTGCCGCAGAGCTGGCCTGCTGTGGGTGGAGAGGACTCACCCGCACCTCCACCCCCAGGGTACCCCTCCCTCTAGCAGCCTGGTGGAGGGGGGCCTTGGAGCACGTGCTCCCCTTCAGGGCCCCAGAGGATGAGTCGGGCTTCCGGCCCCCTACTCCGCCTGGGTCCCGGCTCAAGGCTGCATGAGCCCAGCCCTGAGATCTCCCCTGGGCCTGAAACAGCTGTCCCACTACCTGGCAGGGCTGTGCCGGGTGTGTTGGGGAGGGGACCCTTGTGGGAGCTCCCACACCCCCGTTCCTCCGGCCCAGTTAGGAGCAGCCCCATTGAGAATGTGATGAAGATCGGGAGGGGGACACCCAGAGTCCTGTTGCCATGGGGGAACTTACAGCCTGGGCAGGGAGCCCCCGAGATTGGGGCCCCTGGTCCCAAGCCCCACAGCCTGGGGGTCCCCGTGTCTGTCGTTCCCCAGCAGCCAGAATGAGGTGAAGGCACCTGGAGGCTGGGAGGGTAGCAGAGCCCCTGTGGGTCACTGGCACATCCGTGGGGGCCATTGACCCCTCGGCCCTGCCTGTCCTGCCTGCTGGCAGGGTCGGAGGGTGCCTCTCAGGCAGCCCCAACTTTCCTTCCAGCCTGAGGGGCCCCTGGAAAGACACCGGCTTCAGACCGGCATAGGCAGGTGTGTATTCGGGCCCTCCAGCGGACATCCCCTGCCCTCTGGGAAAGGACCTCACTTTGCTCAACACTGAGGTTCAGGGTGAGGTAGGGTCAGAGGTGGGTCCCCAGCTCTGAGGCGCGGCCCCCGCCAGACGGTGAGCCACACCCAGCTGAAGACTAGTGCTGGGGCAGGAACAGGACTGGCAGGGGCTAGAGCCCAGGGCCCTGAGTGTGACGCGCTGTCCAGTGTCACCAGGCCCCCTCCTTGGAGGGAGCAGGGAGCACTGACCCTCGGTTCCGGCAGAACAGAGGGGTTTTGTCTGGGTAGGAGATGGGGGGAGCGTCCAGGGGTCTGAGCAGCGACTTCCTGGAGCTGCAAGGCTATGCCCAGACTCAGTTTCCGGCCCCGGGCCCCAGACCCTGCTCCCTGGGAGAACGTTGTAGGTCCTACCTAGTACCCCCTAACTTTGGAAAGAGTGAAGCGGGAGAGTAAGGGGGCAGGGCACGCCTCGTGCGAGCAGACGGGAGCCCCGGCTCCCCAGCTCTCCTCCCTCCCCCCGTCGCTGTGGTTGTCACTTGAGGCTGCGTGTGCCCTGACACTGTCTCCGCCTCATGTGTCAGTGGCACCATGCAAAGCCGTGTGTGAGCCTGTGCACCGTAGCCCCCAGGAGCTGCAGAATATTCCAGGGCTCTGCCCAGTGTCCGCGCCCTCGGTGTGTAGGGGGTCATTTCCCATCTGTCACTCTTGTGTCTGCAGGTGAGGCGGTGGTGCAGTGGCCAGGCCACTTGGACCTCACCTGACACGGGCTCCAGACCCACCACTGCCCATCAGGCCAGAGTGGAGGGGTCCATCTGGGGACAGTTCACCTTGGAGCTGGAGTTTCTCTCTGCTTGTGGCAGGCGATGTGGGGGGACATTGCTGCCCCGGAGGCTGGGGCAGTGGGCGTGTGGGCTGATCCCCAAAGGTGCAGGCCACTGACCGCTGGCATTGCTGATGGAGGCAGCTGCAGGCCAGCCTGCCAAAGGCTAGGGCTCCTGGAAGCCCTGTTGTCACGTCTTCTTCCCAGGGTCCAGGCCCCTTCCTGTGTCCCCACCGCCCGCTGTGTGGTTGGCTGGCCCAGGCCTGGGCGTGACGAGAGAGAGGTAGATGGCCCTCTGGTCAGCCTCTGGGTCCGAGCCCCCTTGATGGAGAGCGGAGGCAGGGGTGCGCTTCCCTGAGACCCACACCTGCCCAGGAGAGGCAGCAGCTCCTGACCACCCCTGGGGAACCGAGACTGGAGCGAGGACCCAGGTTGCAGACCAGGCACGACCCTGCCAGCTCCGTCCTCCTGGGCTGGGACACACCGTGAGGAGTCGGGGTCCCTCGGAACATGGTCTTGGTCTCTCTTCTCCTCCCAGGAAGGACTCCCAGCCTGAGTGTGACCTGACACGCTCACTGCTCTGCTCACTGGCGTACAGGGGTCCCATCTCAGCGTGTCCCTCCGCAGCCCCAGGTGACTCGAATAGGCAGGGCCCTCCCCGGGGGCCCATGGACCCGCCGTCCTGCAGCACGTGACCCTGCACGCTACTCCTTCTCCTGCAGGGGACAGCGGTGCTGCAGCTGCTGTCCTGTCTGTCCCTCTGCCTGGGTGGCAGTGAAGTCACAGGGCGGGGACTCCACGCTACAGCACTGCTTGGGGCTTCGGGGGCGTGGGGGAGCTCCGGCATTTCCCAGGTCCCCCGCGTGAGTAGGGACCGGCCCTGAGGCCTGGAGCACTGTCCCCCGCCCGCCCTCCTCTCCTGCGGGGCCCCTTCATCCGAGGGCTGAAAATAGAATCCGCTAAGTAATGATTAAAGTCAAATTCAGACCTAAAAATAAAGAGCTGGTGGAGGAAGAGCTGGTGTGCTCCCGCGGCTGAGGGGAGCCGCCCGCAGGGTGAGGCTGGCTCGGGCACTCCCCTGCTTCCCGGGAGGGCCGGGGCCCACGGGCTGCGGAGAGACGCTTCTCCGAGCGGAGGGGGCCTGGGGGCTTCTCGTTAGATGCAGTGTGCACCAGGCAAGCTGCGACCAGGACCACCATCCCCTTTTTCTCCCGTGGGGAAACTGAGGCTGGCGAGAGCGAGGTGGTTTGCCCTCGGCGGGACCCCCAGACATCTGAGGGGCCCCCTTCAGCCCAGCTTGCCCTTTCTGTCTCTCAGTTTCTCTTCCTGGTTTCAAGGCGCTGCGCCCGGGGAGCTTCGCAGGGTGCACGAGCGAGCTGTGTGTGCCTCACGGGGCTGGGCCTGTGACCGCAGCTTCCCCCCCGAGCCCCCCACCCGCTTCCGTGGTCTGAGCCCGGAGCTGAAGGAAGCAGCTAGGGAGGCTGTGTCGCGTCCGCACCCCCCCACCCCCCCCCCCGCGCCGTTGGAAGCCTTGTGGGTGGGTGACAACCTGGGTGTCATCTGATGCTTGGCTGCCCAGCCTGTCCTCACCCAGGCTGAGCCTCCGCACGCAGGAAGACAGATGTGGGGAGAACAAGAAAGGAACCCCAAGAGCACGCTGCTGGCCCGCGGAGGCAACCAGCCTCCGAGAAGAGCCCGAGAGGGGAGACTGTGGTTCCGACTTCCTGGCAAGGCTGATGGCGGGAGCCCCGAGGCTGGGGACGCGTAGGTTGGAGCCACTGGAGGGCTTCCTGGAGGGGAGGGCCCTGACAGCCCCACGCAGGGTGGAAGCGAGGGTGTCCCCGGGACGCAGGGGCCTCTGGGCTGTGTGACCTGTGCCCCCCAAGCGGGAGGTCAGCCAGGCCTGGCTGACCTCCGCCCTTTCCGGCCGCTGTCCCAGTGCACAGGGCACTGGCCTGTCCCAGGGCTGGGCCCAGGCTGGTTTTGTCCGGATCAAGTCTGGACTTGATGTGCGCTCCCATCCCGGCCCTGCCGCTGGGAGCCGGGCACCCTCCTCGGCGCCTCCGCTCTGCTCCCCCAGCCGCAACTGGGGCTGCCGAGGCTGAAGTGACCAGGGCGCGCGGGCTGGCTGGGCAGCTCGGGGGCAAGTGGGGACACCCCGTCCTCCCCCAAGTGAGTGGCAGGCCCGTGTGATCGTGGGGCTTAGCCTGACCTCATGAGCTGTGTGTGGGGGGGGACCAGAGTTCCAGACAGCTCAGCACGCCGACACCTGTCTGGGCCCAGGGCTGGATCCCGGTGGAAGGTGCCCAGAAGCTGCAGGTCGATGTAGGCAAATGGAGATGCAAAACCCCGGGGCCTGGGCTCGGGTGGGGGATCTTGCCCGGGGAGGCCCGTGCTCCCCGCTGCCCAGTGTGTGCGGTTAATTAGGCTCCTGAGCGGTAATTAGAAGCTCTTTCTGGGCCAGGAGTGAGGCCAGCCGTGCCTGGGGGCGGGGCCCGCCGCCTGCTCCGGGCTCCGGCTCCTGCCCCCACCGCTCCCAGACCGCTAGGCGGGATTTCCCGTCCCTCCGTGGCTGGGGGCCGGAGAAGAACACACACGCTTACACACACAACCCAGGGAGCTGCTGTAATTAGGCTCCTGCGTTTCCCGGCCCTGGACACGCCCCTCCCCCAGGGGCCGGGCAGCACCACCCAGAGCCCAGCTGGGACGGCTCCTTCCATCCATCCTGGCCTCATCCGGCCAGGTTTGGGCCTCTCTGGGGGCGCCGAGGCTCGGGGAAC